TACTTACAATCATGTTCAAAAGTACACCGTAAAAAACAAAAGCAAAAAGCCTACACACAAGAGATCGTAAATAATCAAGACATGTGGTCTGTACGCATATAGTCCTTTCTTCAAGTAAGCTTACAGAGGATCTTTACTGCTATGTTGGAGGAGGATTAAATTTACGAATACGATTTTCATTTCCATGAACAAGAAATAAACTTCCATGCGAGTGAAATGTTAATCCGTATGAAAAGATACCGATTTCTGATTCCGAACAGCCAATAATGCACGTACCACCTTCCGTATAATTCTTTAAATTCCAACTAGCAACTCTGAAAGTACCAGCTTCAGCCACAAACAGTTTCTGGGCGTTGACATCAATAGCTAAACTCGTTGGATTTGAAAGCTGATACAGACTGATCCCCTGTGCACCATTACACGCTACCGTTTCACCCGTTACGTTGCCAATCGGATGAAATCGTTGAATACGATGATTTCCAAAATCAGCAACATAGAGCATATCGTGCAGAGAATCGACAAATATTTCTACTGGACTTTGTCAATGAGTCGAATCATTGTCAGCCCCATCCACACCACCAATAAGTTCACTAAGTGTGGCATTCGGTGCCCATTTCGTAATTCGATGAACAGTGTGATCTGAGATGTACAGATTATCGTACTGATCCATGATCAGGCCAGATGGATATTGAAATTGCTTCAGACCCGTACCTTGACCGTTACCACCAGCAACTACGGTCTCTCCAGTTCCATCTGGAGCAAATCGAAGTATAGTTCTAGATCCCGTCCCCATATATACATTTTGAGTTTTTTGATTGATATACACACAACGTGCAAATTGTCCAAATGGTCTTGTAGCCGTACTAGTTTTCTGATCATATTTTAGAACACTGCCATTATTGCCATAGTCAACAGTGTACAATGTACCATCATTGTAATCAATTGCAATGGTTCTGGGTCTGTTCAGAGGCGGAAAATCAGCCAATGTTTCGGCATCTTCAATTCATACAAGATCTTTTGCTTTTACATAAAGTAAAACGAAGAGTAGATTACGGTCAGATTTAGGGTTTTTCTAGATAAATTCTGCTAATAGCGCAAAAAACACGTCAGCAGACCCCTTTTTTATCGATTTTTCGGTCTGAAAATGTGGCTTCTATATCGAAAGAAATTACGTATTTTTGATTCATAAAAGTGATTTTTGTTCTTTCTTTAGTCATCATTTCTGCAAAAGCGTCACGACATGGTCTAGAGAAGTACGTCAGTTAGAATAATTTTGAAAAGGAGATTGGGTTTTCTGTGATAGCTAAGGGTTGTTGGAAGATCTTTTCCTCTAAACTTATTTGGATTTAGTCCTAGACGGCTCGAGGTGAAAGGTATATGCATTTCGGACTTACAAAATTTTTTTTTCGCTGAGCCGTTTCCAACGAAAGGTAAAAATAAGTTTTTTCTCTTTTTTCCGTGGTGTTTTTGAATTTCGTTTCGGACTCGTTTGTTTTCAAAAAATGGATGGTTGGATGAATGAGAAAACTAGCTGGCGACGAATCTTTGCCTGTCAAAGCAACACAGTCTTTCGATATCTCAACTGTGCTCAGCGCAATTGTTCTCTAGTTTGTCTAGCGCCGTTTAAGAAAAAAAAGGAATTTCTCGCTACTTTAGTACGGGATTTTTTACTAGAAAATCGGTTTTTTTGAGGGGCGCCCTAGAAGACCCCCTAGAATATATGTGCGATAGGATGAGATACAAGACCCGGGTCTTCTATTGTGTCCATCCCTTTATAACTAGGCATGCGCCAATTGCAAAAAACTGAAACCGACTGCAACGGAAACCGAAAAAACTGAGATCTTTATCATTTTTGAAGAAAGCGTTTTTGAGACTCGAGACTTGCATATGATAAGCTGAAAATTGAATATTCCAAAAGTTTTCATTGCATCCGTCGTAAGTTTCTATTGCAATCCGTCGTATATTTTGAATATATCAGTTATCATTACAATTCTACATATATTTCTACCATTTGGTATTCTTTCTGCCTTTGGTTATCTGACTTACAGAAATCTATAGTCACTTCAAACCAGTCAACATCTACCGCCACAATCACAGCTTTCTAATCTCGGCAAGACATCACAACTACAAAGAAAAAAGGCAACGTACGCAAATCGATAGAAGACATTTTGGAGTTTCAAATTGTATTATAACAACTACAAGAATGTTTAAAAAGTTTCCAGATAACGAGTTACTTTTCTAAAAACTTGCCAGATACACCATCTGAAAATCCGATTTCTAAAAGTTTTTAAAACCCACAAGATGCTGTAAAGTCTTGGCTGTCGAATGGTGAGCACTGCAGATCTCCACAGAAAGACAGACGAGGTGAGAGAGGTTTAGAGTCGGGATGAAGGCCGAGATCGAAGGTAAGAGGGAGATGCCCAGTTGAGGTACCAAGTGGTGCACGAACTTGAATATTGCTGACGAAGTGGAACGGTATTTGAGTAGCTACGATCCAATCCAACTTCTTTGAATAATTCTTTCTTTCGTATGTGACAAGAGGTAATTCTTTCCGTTCTGGACTTATTCAAAAAATAAGCAAGTGTCTTTTATTTTGGAATGAATAATAATAGATTCAATTCTCTTACAAGCTAAAACCATTAACAATACTACAAATTAACACCCTCACAAATTTTTCATACCAATTGTTTTTCTAAACTTCCAAACCTATTTTTTCTGATTCTGCATCGGAAACTTAGGATAAAAAACTGATTTCCAAAATTTTAAAGTTGAAACTGACCTAATCCACGAAACAGGAGCAGAATCGTAAAAACCCTACTTTCAAATTTGTAAATGTATCTAGTTTTTCCCATTGAAAGACTAAGCATTAATTGTTATTTCCTTCTAATCAGTATACTTGTAGGAAAAAAAATAAGCCTTGCTTTTTTAAAATTTTCTTTCGTTGCTGAGAAAATTCATTTTCTAGATCACGGCGAAAAACTCATAATTCTGCTCGTAATTCTACTCGTAATTATCAAAATTTTCTTCATCAGAACTGAACTTTTGAACAATAAAAATATCTTATTCGCATTCGGAATCAGGATCAAAAACTGAATCGACTGATGTGTATCCCTATCCATCCTATTCGAGTACTTTAAGTTTTTTCGAATGTTCCCGTTGAAAAATTACCGAGATTTTTACCCAACGTACGTTTTCTGTACGTAAAACCGTACAGAAGAAAATGAATGGCCGCATTTATCGGAGTGCCTTGAATTCAGCTTAATATACACTATAGTAATGTATGCTAATATGAACTTCAATAGTCACTTAACATATGAATTGCTTGTATCTGAGTGCATTTTCAAGGTATTAACTGAACCTGGATCTATAATTATTAGAGCTAATCAAATGAATTTAATTTGGTAGCAAAATCTTCACGGGTTTTGTGTTTGAATTAGGTTTTAAATTTGATTTGGCATTATAATGTTTTTTGATTTCAGTACTATGTACGACATCCTATGAGTATTTTTTGTATTACATAGCTGACTAAATTTTACAATTTAGCTTTGTTTATGTCAAGTGCATAATGTTTTGTAGGTGTCTCGAAATCGGCAAGTCTTCAGGAGTATTATTAGTTATTCGACCCGTCTTGAAACACGGTCTAAGGAGTTCACCGCATGTGCAAGAATTCGGTTGTACGAAAAACCTTGTTCGTAATGAAAGTAAAGAACATTTTACAATGTTCGAAATATGATTTCATAGTATTTTATTATAGTATGAACGCAATATTGGCAGGTTGTATTACCCTTGGTAAAGAGCTTAACAAGAGTATATGCTATGAGACGCGAAAGATGGTGAACTTTACCTGAATAGAATGAAGTCAGGAGAGATCCTGATAGAAGTTCGTAGCGATTCTGACATGCAAATCGATCGTCAAATTTTGGTAAAGGGGCGAAAGACTAATCGAACTGTCTTTAGGGTTAGATTGGAAGATCCACAAGTACGTCTGAGTTTCCTCGGAGTTCTACTGAGAGAGAGCTCACGTTGCCCTTGTAGATGAAAAGATTGTGGTCACTGCTAGCATCATCGCTCAGATGATGTGAAAAGTAATGCATCAACTGGATGCATTACTTTCGTTTAATTTCAGTTTCTCTTATTATTTCTCGATATTTGTTTTTCTTCTCTTATTATTTCTTCAATTCGTCTCGAAATTTTCACTAGGTTTAGTATTCAGTTTGGCAGTTAGAATTGTACGATGCAAAGTAGAATAGAAGAACATTTTAAGGCATATTAGTAGTGCATAATTTGCATTACTTCATTATATTATGAATTAAGTTGATGGATAGAAATGATTAGAATAGTAAAAGACTAGAATAGTAGAATAATAGAATAGCAGAATAGTAGAATAGTGTTTTCCACCGGCTACAGCCTAAAAATTAAAGCTTATTTTAAATGGACCTCAATGCCATAGTGTTTTGTGGTAAAGAAAGCAAAAGCTCTTTTTAGAAGGTATTATTTTGAAACGGTCTGTGGAAAATCCGTTCGGAGTTTAAAATAGCAATGTATTTGTTTTTTCAGATAGATAAATAGTGTTCAGTGCCGTCTGCAAACTGGAATTTTTGGGATTTCTGGAACTTTTTCATTGCTAATGCAAATTTTGAAACACTGAATTTTCCACGGACCTTTTCAAAATCCTATCTTCTGAAAAGAGTTTTTTACTTTTTTTATCACAAAAGGCTATGCCACTGAGGCCCGATTAAAATAAGCTTTAATTTGATATATAAGAAATATGTAGCTTTTCAGGGTGAAGAATCTTGAAATATGATCTTGTAATTCATATTACAATACACCACAAGACCTTACAAGAGCATATGAAATCTGACACGATTTCATAAGAATGTTGGTTAAAGCCCTAGTCAATGTACTTGAGAACAAGTGCCTAGAAAAATACTATATGGAATAATAATTTAAATGAAAATGAAAGGAAAAGTGCTCAGTATCAGTAAAATCAGACAAAAACAATAAACTTTGTCAATCTGCTGTTGAAAAAAATATAGATAACAGCAATAAATTGAGCGTTAATTTAATAAAGTGTGCTGTCAATTGATAAGCAGAAAATATAGTTCCTGTCACAATATACGTAGATATATTTTTGTGTTTTTGTGTGTGTGTCAATTTTAAGAATAATTGCTTGCTTTAATAACCGCTTTTCCAATATTATCACCTTTGAATAAACCAGCAAACGCT